TATATATATATATATATATATATATATATAAACAATCTTTAGTCATAAAGGCCAAGTTAACTCCCCTACACAACTAAAGATATGTACAAGCCAGGGAAAATACTACTTTTCCTTGACATTATGGAGCATGATTTTTTTAAACACAAAAACAAAACAACAGCTTTTTATATTAAATTGTATTTTTAAATTAACTTACCTGCTCTTTCAACCAGAACTTCTCTCGTTCTGTAGGGTTGATCTCCCTCTCTGGTTGTATTCTTTTATAATTGGTACCCTAAAATAACAAGTCAGATAAGTTCTTGGTTTGAGATGTCCAGCTCCTTGAGTTTCACTCTAATATAAAACTTATGTTAACAACACCTACATAAAAATGCTCGAAGAGAAGATAAAGCACTCTATTCATAAAAAATTAAAACATTAATTAGAGCTGGGTGATTAGAGGAATTTGCTAATTGATTTTTCACTGGGCTCATTAATTATTTTCTCATAAGATTTGGAAAGTTGGAATAATTCAAAATAGTAATAATTGGTAACTCTAATTGTGATTAGTTGATTATTTTCATGACATTAATTGATTATTTTGTGACACTAATCAAAGTAATCAATGGTCATATGCACTCGATTATATCTGTTAATTAAGTTAATCACCCAGCTTTAGCACTGACACAATAATGCCTTTTCATTAGTTTCCTCAGCTGATCAAGACAGTATGAGCTAAGAAATCAAATTAAAAATAAAAGTTGAAATGTAGAGTCGAATTGAAGCATATGAACGGCAACAAGCCAAATCTGATGTGAATGGGCCCATAAGAGTAGGTCCAATGCCCAAAAGCAAAGGGTCCTAGAGTGGGAGCCTCCTTGATGGTCAATGTAAGAAACAACTGTGGAATTGTCATAGTGGATCATTGGATCATGACCAAGTGATCCACAAGAAGGGGCAGGAAATGGGAATATGAGAAGTTCAAGCACGTTGATGTGGCATGAACACATTCTATATCCTAATGCCAGAAGTCATGGCATTGTTCAAAGAAGTGTCCCAACCTGAAAGGGAAGAATCGGTAAAGGGATAGAGATCTAGTGTGAGTAGTAAGGGAAAGCCAGAAGTAGTACTGGAATGATCCAGCCACCATGACAGTTCCTGGAGTAGAGGAAAGGGGATGTTCAAAATCGAGGACAATGGAAAGAAGCCCTTGGATCCACAAGATACACTGGAGGAGGTGCATGTGTGAGTGACCAAAGGAATGAGGGGTGGTTCCAAGGAACCCAAAGTCCTCAAAAACAAAAGAACACCTTGCACAGGATGAAAATGAAAAGTGCAAATCATGGTGACCAGATATTCCATAGCTTGCAGGTGAAGAGGAGAAAACTGAGCTCAGTTGAAATAAGATATGAAGAAAACAGCCAGAAGAACCAGATATTGAGTAGGCATTAAAAAGGACAAGCCACTCCAACTGAGTAGTTCCTGTAAAGGCATTTGAGTGTGAGAAAGGAGCTATTAGAAAAAGGAGACAGCATAAATCTCAATAACAAGCAACAAGGAAAGACAAGGTAAACCCCAATAACTGAGTTCATGGAGTGAAGACTGGGCAATACCAAAGGACATAAGCAAAAGATAAGGAAAGGAACATGCCTGAGAATGAAATCGAGAAAGAGATTGGAAGATTAAGGTCATTCCTCGATTGGTAGAGCACTACCCAGTACCCAAGGCAGATCAGGGTAAATTCATAGTTCAAAAGACCATTCGAAACTGAGAAGAAACAACGTTGGGTGACAGGATGAGAGTAGGAGGTTGGTAACCAACAACATGTTGAACATAGGCTGCAAAATCCCCAACAGTTAATGAGCCTCCAGAAGCTATAGAATTAATAAAGCTTGTGTGTGTAATATCGTTACTCACACAGGAAAATTCATGATAAAAAAGATAAAGCTTTTGAAACAAAAGGTAGAGAAACCAAAAATCAAAGTTTTGTTAACATATGCAAATTTCATCAAAGTGAATTCAGACAGGAAGTTTGAACATGTCTGTTCAAAGCAGTGCCAAGGAAATCAATGAACTTATCACATGGAGGTTGTGTTGCCCTCCTATTGGCTATTGTTGTATGATGACATCATCATGTACAAGTGCAGGTCACATTAAACACATGAATTTTTGTGGAAGTTAGCTCAAGGCTAGTGGTATGCAAATCTCATAGGCAAACGTGAGGGAAATAGCATTTTCATGTGAGGAGTTGAAATTAAAGATTTCACATACAGAATCTTGTCATTTCTATGTATTTTAACCACAACTGCTGTTGTCTTTTCACTTGTTTATTTTTAACATAGCATCACATTTACTTATTAACCCTTTTATTATCCCCCAGACAATTAGGGAAATAATGCTTCCTAACTTATGTAAACAAATGTGCACTGATAAATGTGGTTACATTGGTTCAGTGATATCAGTTGCAATATGTGAGTTAGGAGTATAAAACTAATAAAGTATCTAGAAATCTAACAGACACAGCTTTCTTTCATTTGTGGTATACAGCTGTTGATTAATATTCCCATTTCAGACCAAAATGGATGGTTATCTTTGCTCAGGCTCCTGAGTCTGCCATTTGGTCGTCATTCCATGCTCTGACAAGGGAGAACATTATTCTAATAAATATACACAATGATATAAATATTTATGAATACTATGCTGTATATGGAGGTCAAACGTGTCAAGAATGTTCTTTGATAAGTCGAATTGAGCCAAGATGAACAGTCTATTAAGTAATAAAGTTCAGTTTAATGTTTGTTGTAAATTCCACAATATTTTTTATTTATATAGATTTGATGAGTTATCCATATATATATATATATATATATATATATTGGCCAGATTTGAAATAATTGGATCAGGTTTGATATCTGCATGATTCCTGTGAACCTTTAAGACCACAAATTAATTGGAAGAAGTCAGTCCCTTGAACATGAAGTTTGCCCATCATGAGATATATTCTGGAATCTCCTGTCACATTTTTCCTAATTGTAGTGTTCTGTGTGCTATTACTGGTGTTTGACTTACAGGTCTAGAAGCATAATTTTAACTTAATAGTACAAATGCAGATATTTCTTGTTTGAAACCAAATAATCTTTGGTTGCTCCAAGTCTATCCAAAACTGACACCTTCCAAAAACTGAAACTTTTTTTTTGTTAAATAGATAAGATATGATTAGCTTGTAATATAATTTGAAGGAACAATATCAAATTCTTTAAATCAAAGATAATTTGACTAACATACCCTTTGCATATGGACAACCATATTTCTCTCAAAGTTGCTCAACTTTTTATGTTTTGATTAGACTTTTTGTTTCTAGATACCATTGTCTTTGTCAAGAACAACTGTTCAGAATTGCATAAACATTTTATAAGGCCTCACCATGTGATCAAAATGACAGAAAGCATTTCACTAATTCTTAAATAAAATTACATTAAAGCAAAAGTGTTAAAAAGTATAATTTTACAATAGAACCAATCCTGTAATGAAAAGAAGAGGGCATCACTGTTACGATAGCGGAAGTCACGTGACACTGGGAGCATGCGTGCTGGAGTTTCTAGAAAGATCGTGACTTAGCGGGCAACCTCACAAATGTCCCAGTGTTTGCTAGATGCCCACTTTTTTAGTATATAAGCCAGAGATAGATTGAAGAGAAATAATGGAGATAATTGAGTCAAGCGAGCAGTAGGCACCATAAGTAAAGTGTGTGAATCGCTGTGAATTATAGCGTGTTTATAAAAGTAGTTAAGTTTAAAGTGACTGTGGAAATTAAGTGTATTACAAAGTTTGTAACGAGAAAGAATAAACTAGTTTTAATTAAGAAAGGACTTGTATCGCTGAAGTTTCTCGGAAAGAATTTCTACGGGAAATTAACAAACAAGCGGATATCACTATTCCTAAAAAAAATTTCCAGCAAAAACAAAAATGTTAAAACAAAGGACTAAATCAATTCTCATATTACTTAGATAGGTCTTTATAGCATTTTAATTATCACTGAGTAAATAGGTCAGAAACAGTATTTCTCGATTGTTTCCGTTTCACACACATAATTTATGCATATATTCAACACATAAATTATACATACAAATAGGACTTAATCAAGCATGCAATGTTTAAGTTAAAGCACCCATGTTAGTTCTCTTACTACTACTACTTACAACTGGAGATGTATTTTCAACAGGATCTGATCTTTCCTTGAAGTTGAACTTAGAAGCTGTCGATTTTGAGAGTCTTTCTAAAATCACAGGGGGATCAACATCTTCTTCAGTTCGAGCATTAATTGTAAGGTGGGCACCCTGAAATTGTAAATCCCCCTTCTTTATTAACACCAGCCTTTCTAAATACAATAATTTTTATAAGGAAAGATCTAGGAAATTGTGTGCTTTTTCTGAGAGAGTCTCAAACACACAGGCACAGCTCTTGGCTTTAGTAATACAATATTTATTAGGTAAAATAAAATTCTGGCAAATAAAACAGTAAACAAAGTAACAAAGAAAACACTAAATTGTTTTCTCGTGTCTCATGTTTTTCATCTATTCACATCAACAAAGAACTAAATTAGGTGAATGTGCGAGATATTTCCTGCCAGTGATAATAATTTATACTTGTTTTAAACAAAGATGTATTGATTCAAAGGATAGAAGTCTATATTCTGAATTTTAAATAAGTATAATTGAATACACATTGCAACATAAAATTCAGAACAGTACTATTATATTTTTGTATACTGAAAAACATTTCTTATGAATCATTTCAGTTCTATTTACTTCAAAATGTGAATAAAAAAAGAAAAAAAAAGAACTAGTAGTGTTTGACTGATAAGATTACAAACCTTGAAGAAGTTGGTTATGTCATGTATATGATTAGCACAACAGCCTTTTCTGGACATCGGGGCACCTTCTCCTTGCTAAATAGACACAAGACAAGAATTACATGGCTCTTTGAAAACGAAGAGTGGAAATTACTCATAAAAAAGGAACAATATAATTGGCTAAGATCATGTTGAAAATACACTTGATAAAGTATTCTACCATTTCTAAGAATTTCTCAGGTATTTTATTTTTGTAGTTGCATCTTAATTTTCTGTCATTGAATGAACATGTATTCACAAAATGATTCTAAGAAAGACACACATTTATAGCCAGTAAAACTTGCAAATAAAGTACTTTTATAATAAAATAAGTGATAGAGCAGGGTAATTAAGTCAATTAGTGTCACATAAAATAACTGATTAATCAAAATTGCAATTAAATGGATTCATATCTCAAAAATAATTAACTATTGTTTCCTATTATTTCAAATGTCCAGAAAACAATAATTATGATTAAATCAATTAATGTCATGAAAAGAATTAACTGATCAAGATTAGTGTTTCCTATTACACCATCTATCATGATTTTTCATTATTATTTTTGATTACTTCAAGTTTGTTCATTGATTAGTGTCACAACTTGTGCAAATAATCAAAATTAGTTTCTGATTATTACTACTTTCAATGGTTTCAACTATATAAGTAATTGAAATATTATGTTTATTTGTTGTAAAACAGAAAGCAACACAGTGGGCTATCTGTGCTCTGTCCACTGCAAGCATTGAAACCCAATTTATAGTGTTGCAAGTTCTTTTTAGCCATATCATGAGAATAATCAATTAGATGAATATACTAAATTAATGCTTCAATTAACCTTTTCGCCATGGGAACAGTATAATATACTCAAGTTCATATACACATTTGCACACATTAAGTATCTATACTATAACTTCTAATGCACTAAGTGTATCTTCACAAAATTTGGTAGACTTTTAGTAAAGATTATAAGTCTTTTGTACATAAAAAAATCAGATTTTTTAATGACATATTTTTATTATACATTTGTTTGTGGAAATACCAAGTCTATTTCGTTACCAGTCCAAGTGCGAAGAGTTTTTCATGTTATAACTAAAAAACTATTGTTCGTCCCAAAAATCTCAAATATTACTTGTGTAATCTAATTTGTGTAAAATGTTCGTTTTCATTAAATCTTCATATTTTTGGTTATTTTCTCTACTCTAACTCTATGGGATCTGTAAATTGAACTGGCCTCATAACCAACATAAAACATTTTGAAATACATTTAAATTATGCTTTTTTTCCTTCTAGAATGACTCCAGATTATAACATGAAAAGACAAATAGCTTAAATCTCATAACATAATACATTTATATATATCTTTATAATTTTCATTTTATTGACCTTCCAGCCATGCCTGGCTAACAATACAGAAGTTACAACAATGCAGCTCATGTGCACTCATGTTACCATGTCTAATAATATAAAACTGACCTTTAGTCTTTACAAAATGACTTGTCTTGGTTGTGTTTTAGTAGACTAGTATTTTGTAAAATACAGTCACATTTCAATTTTTATAAATTATATATGTATATACATTAATACTATTTACAAATAAGTTCTTAATTTTATTTTTCTTGAAATACAGAACAGTAAATAAAGAATTAAACAAAAATTATGTCTTCTAGCTACGACCTTTGTACTCGTTTACTGCTTGTCATAGGTTGCTAAGCCTCATGAAATTTCCCACGTGGAGGATGTGAAAAGGAATTTTTTTTTAGGTTTTATATATACATTTTAAATAACCCCCCAAAAAAATAAATGACTATATCCATACTATACAACTGCACTATAATTTATCAAGCGTGGTTACTACGCTGTACTTAGATCTAACAAAATATGAAATTTCGAGCTCACTAAAAACTTACCTTGTCCCTTTGAAATCTTGTGTGAAAAGAATGAGATTAACACAATAACATGTCAAAATAGCTGAGAAAACCACAAGAGGGACATTCTGAGCTTTTGATTGGTTATTCACATGTCATATATAGAAATAGTGTATTTAAGGGACCGTTTCCAAAATTGGAAAGAGGTGGGTGGGAGCCACTCTGGTTGATTCAGTACATGAGCGTGTGATATCTTAGCAAATAGAAAAGATAAGAGATTCTTATTCTATGTTTTAGCTTGTCAATATCGGTAGTTTGAGTTCCTAATTCATATGAAACTATAGACTTTGTATTTTGACACACACACACACAAAAAAATTTGAACCAGTGCTGCATTCAATATACCACGTGACACACAAAAACTGATGTTTAGCTGGTTTTTTAAATATTTATTTTTAAATTAAGAAATTAACTAATGTATTGTTACGTCTCCGTTTGTTAATTAACTTTACCGATACACTCAACTTCAACAATCGCGCTAAACAAACGCTGTAACATCTCTCGTGCTCTCTGACTGCAGTTCAATTACTCACTGTCTATCCACACATTACATTACCCTCTTTTATATACTCGACTACCCTATATCTAGTAAATACTAGAGCATTCGCCAAAGTACAGGATAGTTCTAGAAACTAGAGGGCGCCACACCAGTCACGTGACCTCGATGACGCAACACTGCCCCCTCCTTAGTATTGTTCGTCCCGAACAATAACCACATACAATAAACCAATAACAATAACAATTAACAATAACTTAAT